TACTGCTGAACGGTGTATCCGGTTCTGGGGTAGAGGAGATGCTCAAAGCGCTGTACTCGACCACCCGAATCGTAGCGCTTGCTGATACATTTGCGTAGGCTGGATTGCTAAACCTAACGGTGAGCATCCCAGTGCCAGTTTGTAGAGGCACGATGCGCGCCCCAGTTGAGCCAGCATACTCAACCGTGAAGACTCCATTGTTGTTGCTGGTGTCAAAAACCGTACGCGTGTCTGATGTCATGGTGCGTTGACTACCATCCAAAAATTGAAGGCGTACGATCAACTCGGAACCTGTGCTGACACCAGCAAAACGCGCCACATCATCTGTGCGGACATAACGAGAGACCACGCCACTGATGGAGACGCTCGAAGGAGGTGGTAAATCAATGGTCAGGTTTCCAAAGCCTGATGCCACACGAGCATTCTCGCAGACACTACCATTGGCCAACACCGAAGACCACGCGGCGTGCACATACGGACCAACACCCGATGCAGCACCCACAGCAACGGACGCTTCGTCTGTGCTCATGGTAATTTGCTGTGAGTCTGAGCTGTTGAACATGAGGCCCAATGCAGCCGTCAGTGGTTCGCGCGTGCCGTCGGCGTAAACCGCAGAAGCCACCATGCGCACGGATGAGCCCTCAGCTTTGAGCGCAGCTTCGACGACTTGCACTCGAACCCGCTCGACCGAGGGCATGGAGCCAACCGTGCCCATGAAGTTTGCGCGCACTTGGCTGATTGCCCGTACGTCCATAGCTACTGCCCGCACACTCGTGCTCAGAACGCTAATAGTGCCAGTGCGACCAAGCTCGGTGGACCCGCGTACGACACGCAATTCGCTGCTCCCCACTTCGATGCCGCGAACACGCACATCTCCGCTCAAATCAGTGGGCCCAGCTTCCACGGACAAGATAGCCGAGGAGGTGGCTTGGATCTGTGAAATGGACAATAAGCTCGTCACATCCCCTTCAAAATTCATACGATGCGCCCGCGCCCGAGAAGCGTGCCAATACTCGCACAGCAGCAGACTGCCAGCCAGCTCCCGAACAGGACACAGCGAGGCTGACAGGGCCAATCCAGTCCTCGACGCGATGTAATTGAGAACGGTCAACAGAAACGGTCAACGGGAGTTCTGGGTACATGACGCGAAATGGAAGTGACAAGACCAAGCTGCGTTCAGTGTCTTCCGCCACAAATGACACAACGCCACTGCCCTGAGTATGGCTGGCTGATAGTGAGAGTCCGACACAACCGGCCTCAATGGTAGCGACATCACTTGCACCTTCGACGCGACATGCCAGCGACGTCAAAGTGTGCGGCACGCGTTGGCCCGAATGCATGACACTCCACGCCCGAAAGGACGCTGCAGAAAAAGCCTGTTCAGTCAGAACGGCCGTATTGACCAACTCGACCTGAGAAAGGTAACCAAGCAGGCCTATGGGCTGATCGGAGCGCGCATATACACGACCTTCACTCTGACTCGCACCATCGCGCGACACGACAATGCCGGGCACAGGAAAGGTCATCTCGCCAGCAGGCACGCGAGTGGCATCCGCGGTATCCAACAACCCGCGCGTTTCGAGTCTGATCAAACTGAACACCTCAACACCGTTCAAGGTACTGGCAGCAGCAAACTGAATCTCAGCTAGTAAGGCAGCCCCGCTGGCATCTACTGGGGCGCTTTGTCCACTCTTGAGCGTGTAAACAAGGCGAACGCTGGTGCCGTTGGGGAGGAGTGCACGTGCACCGCTCCAAATGTTGCTGTCAGCACTGGCATCCTCAATCAAGATGTCAGAGCCTTCGCACGTGACCTGAATGGTGAATCCCCCAATAGCGTACGTTGTGTTGCTGTAGATACGGGCTACGGCAGAGGCACCGGCATACATGCTAGTCTGCGGCAGATCAATCCAAATGTTGTCGGAGATCGCCGTCGCAAGCTGTCGGATGACGCTAATATTGCCTAGTTGGACCTCATCCGGGCTGGCCAAACCAGCCTCAACAGTGATGTGGTCCTCGTCGCTGGCCGTTCCCATGAGCCAAGTTTCACGCAAGCTGAGGGTCACGCTGCAGATGCCATCCATTGCATCGACAGTACACGAGCCAGTAACAGGTTGGCTAGCATCTGTGACAAGGGTTCCGTGTGGGTTTAGCCGCACTGACACGAGTGTGCCTGGCAAAACCTGGGTCGAGCCAACGTCGTCAAAAGCCTGCACATACACGGTTATGCGGCCGTTGTCACCATAAACTACATCAGATGGGCTGGCATATCCGCGCAGCGATGTGGCTGCACGGCGAGCGCTGGTGAAGGATGAGACACCCTGTGCCACCACGGCTGATGCGACAAAGGTACCACTGGCACCCGCGACAACGCTAAAGTCATACTCGCCCCGTGCCACCTGGGTTGGGCCCTCAATAACTACACCACCCAGGCCGGAACCAGAGGCAAGCTGTCCATAAATATATACACTGGAGTTGAAGGTTGGAATGCCACCACAGACTCGATCTGAGTACATGGTTGGTGCTTCCACTTCATACTGGTCACCTTGGCACTCGGTTAGCAGCTGGCACACCCGGTTGCTCGTGGCCGTCGCGTTGGCGGCCACAAACTCAATTTGAAAGTCACATACATCCAAATCTGCACACGTGCGGTCTGACGTTGCTGAAGGGCCTTCGGACTCGTATTCTCTCGTACTGTTGCAGATCGTCAGGTTGTGACACACCGAGTCAGACCAGGGCGTGCATGCCTTTTCCAGATACTGATGAGTCGAACATGTGCTGCAGGCTGTGCAGCTAGTATCGGACACGACCGTGCAGTTTGAGACGGTAAAAGAGCCATTGCCACATGTGCTGCACACCTCGCAAGCAACAGGATCGCCATCGTCAAAGGTTAAACCATCCTCGCACGCAAGCTCGCAAAGTCGATCTGAGGTAGCCGTTGGTGCACTTGATTCGATTTGATCACCCACACATATGGTCAGGTTCTGGCATTGGTGATCAGTGTCGCCGGAGCAGGGGCCCACTTCAAACTCGTGTGCCGCGCAAATGGAGCATGCCTGGCACACCGTGTCGTTGAGGGCTGAGCAGCCGTGAGCCTCAAACTCGCCGCTGTCGCAGGTCGCGCAGGGCTGACACACCGTGTCGCTCGTGTTGGTACAGACTGCGGCCTCAAACTCGCCGCTGTCGCAGGTCGCGCAGGGCTGACACACCGTGTCGCTCGTGTTGGTACAGACTGCGGCCTCAAACTCGCCGCTGTCGCAGGTCGCGCAGGGCTGACACACCGTGTCGCTCGTGTTGGTACAGACTGCGGCCTCAAACTCGCCGCTGTCGCAGGTCGCGCAGGGCTGACACACCGTGTCGCTCGTGTTGGTACAGACTGCGGCCTCAAACTCGCCGCTGTCGCAGGTCGCGCAGGGCTGACACACCGTGTCGCTCGTGTTGGTACAGACTGCGGCCTCAAACTCGCCGCTGTCGCAGGTCGCGCAGGGCTGGCACACCGTGTCGCTCGTGTTGGTACAGACTGCGGCCTCAAACTCGCCGCTGTCGCAGGTCGCGCAGGGCTGACACACCGTGTCGCTCGTGTTGGTGCAGACTGCGGCCTCAAACTCGCCGCTGTCGCAGGTACTGCAGATTTCACAGTGGCTCGCATTCCATGCATAAGTGACGCCCAGAGTACACGACAACCGACATGTGCGGTCGCTTGTTGCCGTGGCTGCAACAAACTCCACCTCGTCGCCCTCACACTCTGTCAAATTGACGCATGTCCGGTCGCTTGTGCTTGTAGCCTCATTCAACACATATTCATCTTCTGTGCAGGTTGTTATCTGTTGGCATTCTCCTTGCTCATCCAGGTATTGGAGACTGTAGTTGCAAGATGCCGTGGCCTGTGCGGTTAGCTCAAATAGACTGTTGGACACGACATCACCCTGTCGTCCGTTTGGCTGGAAGTCAAAACTTTCATTCGCATCTAGCACTAGATCTAGGTCCGGATCATAGATCTTCAGCGTTACCACCTCACCAGCATTGTTGCCACCCACGGCCATCAGGAAAAAGTATTGGTCTCCAAAGTTGAGCATACTTGATACAGTGCCCGAGAGCCGGCCATCGGTAAAGCTGGCGAGTCGAGCGCTTGGGTTGCGTAGGGGCTGACCATTAATGCTGGCGTTTGCCATGAGCTGCATGCTGTTTTGAAACTGATTACCATCTACCTGCCAGTCCGGTTCATTGGCACGCCGCGAACGTGCGTGGGAAATCGACCTTCGCCAGCTTGGGAGGGGAAGTGGGGCAAATAAGTGGCCAAATGTGCTTCCTGGTTTTGAGCACTCTGGTAACTCCTCCAAGTCAAGGAACCCGCTAGCTTCTGATGTCACAAGCTGCAGGCTAAATGTCGGATGCAGTGGCAAGTCTAGGCGCAAGATCTCGCCGTTGGGGCCCAAAACACTATTGACGCGGCTCAGGAGAGTACTGCGATCCCACACTGAGACTTGCACGTTCGTTTCGGGGGCGGCTAAAATGTATCTGCACGTTGTGTCATGGGCATCTTTGCTAAAGGGAATCATATGTGGCATTGAATCCGGCATGGACGGGCGAGGCAGCGTCCGTCGGTCTGGCTGCGGCTTCAAGGTTCTGCGGCGATTGGGTCGGCCCCATGTGAATTGAAATGGTTCCTGCACCAGGCCGTCTTCAGGAATGGTGAGAATGTAGGCTGCGCCAGGCTGAATCGTTGTCAGGTCTGTGGTGAACCAGGTGCCCCCCAATTGGATGGCTGGGTTACCTGTGGGACATGACGGAGGAGTCGGTTAGCTGTTGATCCCTGCGACCACAATTTCCGTTTCCACGGGGGGCAAGGAACATACCAGTACCCACGGGCAGGCGATAGATGGTCATGCCGTTGATTTGTGGCAGTGCGGCTAGACCAAGCGTTAGCTCGACCGCAATGTTGTTTGGGTAGCCAAGTCGATTGAAGCCATTGACGACCGGTATCGTCTGTGAAAGGTTCATGGGGCGGCCACGCAGACACCAAGCTTCAGGGTTTGGATGGCTTGTGTAGAGGCGGAAGAAGGTGCCATAAACGTCCGGCAGGGCACTGGTTTGAAGCCAGGACCCGAGGTAGATGGCCACGGCAAGATTGGCTTCCAGAGTGTCACCAAATGTGGCTGCGGTGAGATTGGGCAGGAAGGGGTCGACGCGCTGGCTGCCACTGCGGTCAAGAACATGGAAAGAGAAAAAGTTGTGGCCAAACGTTAGTGGGATACACTGCTGGCGGAGGGGCAAGCAGATGCGATCTGATGTGTCAGTTCCTTGCGAAGCTTGGTACTGGCTGAGAGAGCAGTCGGTCAGGTTTTGACAGATGGTATCTGTTGACAAATTGCATGGGGCCAGACGATATTGATGGTCCTGACAAGAGGTGCAAGGGTGGCAGACGCCGCTTGGGTGGAGGAAATACCCATCGGGGCATGGCACCAGGGTGGGTGTTGGGGAGGCTGTGGCGGTGGCGGTGGCTGCAGCCGCGGCTTCAACGTCGGCCATGTTTGTCAAATCGCGTTTGCGGCGCAACGGGTGGCGTGCATGATCGTCCTGAGCGACATCCGCGACAGGATCGAGCATGGGATTTGTTTGACGCCACGGGGCGCGCGCCTTGGGGTGGTGTGGCTCAACCGAGGGCTCCAGGTCAGAGGGCAGGTTTTGGCTGGATGAGCGAGAGGGCAGTGGCAGGTCAAAAATGACGGCGCATTGCCTATCAGTGGTTGCAGTGGGAGGTGCAACCTCGACCTCTGGGAGGGAGCACAGATTTCGGACGGGCGCACAGCGTCGGTCCGAGGTTGAAGTTGGGCTTTGGGCTTGATATTCCGAAGACTGTTTACATAATGTGAGGCGCTGGCAGTCACTGGTACCGGGTCGGCGAAAGGTCGAACCGGGGCACGGAGAAAAGGCCGCACTGGCCCCGCACAGCAGGGCGAGCAGCAGGAGGGTTTCAAAGCACACGAGCCATCGGGGTTTGGGGCCGTGGGCGCAAACTTTCCGAACGAGGGAGAATTGTCGGAGCGATGCGCATGAGGCGGCCATGGCCCCGATGATCGGGAACGCGGACTTTTTGCCGTTTGCAGAGGGAGGCGTGTTGACAAGCAATGCCTGCGAAGCACGGGCAGACATTACAGGGAAGACAGCTGATGAGATGGCGGCCAACAAGGAGAAGGTTGAAGCGTTTTTGAGACACATGGGCGCCTGGGGCGACACGGGCACGCTGACCTCGACAATGGTCTTCTCGTTGAATCAAAGTAGCGTTCTGATGATTGGGGGCAGCCCAGATGCGAGACTTTGAGGTGGGGCAGGTCCTAATCGCGCAAGTTTCGAAGCAAAACTCGCAGGTGCGGCGGCGGCGGCGGCTGTGGCAGCAGCAGCAGCAGCAGCAGCAGGGGGTGCATGCACGTTGATTGCTATCTGCTGTTGCTTACACGCATTTACCTCGGCTGCAGCACGCACGGGCTGATGCGCTGTGACAGCGCTGGGTCAGGCATAGGTCAACGGCCGGCTGAATGACTTCCAGCGCAGCCAGCACCGGCAACGGTCAAATAAGGTTGAGTCCCTCTGCTGCTGGCTGCATCGACTTTTTGTCTTGAGATCAGTCGGCTCTTGCTCTCTTTTGTGTGTGAGTGTCTTATTTTTTTTTTTCAAGGTGGACGTTTTGTTGTGTGAGCGATCGACTTTATTTTGGCGCTGAACAAAGGGGCGCGTGGCGCCAGTGTGATGGGGCTTTACCGCGCGGTCTCACCTTAGTGTTTGAGGGGCGTGACCCATAGCGCTGAGCGTCGCTGAACAACTTGCATGCATGCAGATAAAATGGATCCGAACACAGTCTTACATTTTGCTGGCCAATCAATAAAAATGAATAGCTTGACGGTGAAAAGAGCTCTTACGTCAATACACAAAATCACAGAGTGATCAAGATGTTCAAGCGTGATATACGACACACTCCAGCCTCTTGCCTTTGGATCGCACACGCTGGGCAAGACCCAGAGAAGCCACACGGTCCAACCCCGTGTACCATCATTTCCCAACAGCCATCAAGCTTGCCCAGCGACATGATGCACACGCAACTCTGTTCCAGCACCAGCACCACACGTGGCGTAGAAGGGGAAAGCGTTAAGCCAAGCCTTTTGTATTTGACACGTGACGACCCGAAACAAAAGCCGTCAAACTCAACCAGCCATAAGGGTTAGTGTTTGAGTCCAAAAGGGTCCATCCCACCGCGTGGTAGCCACAAGCAAGAAGGCCCCTTTGTACCAACTGGCACGTTCTCAAAGCCACAAGGGAAAGGATGAGGGGAGAGAGAGGAGTAAGGGGAGAGAATAAGGGTTAAGTAAGGGGAGAGTAAGGTGTGGCGGTGCTGGTTGGAGGGTTTCGGCCTTTTTCCTTTTCGGGCTGTTGGGTCAGATTCTTCGGATCGTAACTCTCGTTGCGGTTCGCGCTCGCCGGGTTCCCCCGCCGAAACTAAAAAAGGCTAAACCAAACAAAAACGGCAAAACTTTGAAACAACCCTTGACTGGGAAACAAAAAAGGTACGCTGCCGTTTGTATCGACCCACATGCGCTCACACGATAACACATACAGAGACACACCCGAGACAAAATTCGACAGCCTCGGCATTCCCTTCTGCACCAGAAGCACGCTTTTTTAGGCATGGCCGAGCTCGTGTTGGTTGTGCAACGCTCTCTTCCTGTTGATGTGTGTTGTGACCCCGACACCCGCCGTCCCTTTCTTTCATCGCGACCGGCACGCAGTCCGCGGATAAGAATGCAGCTGTGGCGTTGATGACCTCTCGTTCTGTTTTTTTTTTCTCCTCTCCGTTTGGCAGCCCGTGCCGATCTCGTCACAAGTCTTTCCATCATCTCCCTCACCCGCGCAGCACATGAGCGCGCGCACACATTTATCCATCAACCTCTCTCTCTTCTTCTGCCTTTGACATGGCCTGCGCTTCTCTTGGCTTGTGTTTGCTCGCGACACAACACGGCAACGCAACACGCATCGCAATGACCCCCAACTTCCTTGGCCACCCAATCAAATCCCTGTGCATCCTTTTTGCAAGCATCCTGGGACGTCAACCTCACGCTGCCGCTGTCGCTGCTTGCCACTCGGTTCTTTTCCTTTGTTGCCTTGAATAGTTCAAAACCGAAAATGTCTGCTCAGGTTGCCCCCACCCCCGCGGCCAATGTCGCCCCCGCCTCGTACGGCAGCGCCATGCCCGCTGCTGTTCCTGCCATGCCCATGATGGCCGAGCACCAGCAAAACGCCTCGCTGTACGTTGGCGATCTGCACCCCGAGGTCACCGAGGCTACCCTCTACGAGTTCTTCTCGCAGATGGGCAGCGTCATCTCGATCCGCGTGTGCCGTGACGCCGTCTCGCGCCAGTCGCTCGGCTACGCCTACGTCAACTACCAGCAGCACGCCGATGCCAAGCATGCTTTGGAGGAGCTCAACTTTGAGAAGATTCATGACAAGCCCTGCCGCATCATGTGGGCTCAGCGCAACCCCGCTGCCCGTCGCTCTGGTGCCGGCAACATCTTCATCAAGAATCTGAACAAGGAGATTGATAACAAGGCCCTCTATGACACCTTCTCTGCCTTTGGCACCATCCTCTCGTGCAAGGTCGCCGCCGACGAGAAGGGCGAGTCCCGTGGCTATGGCTTTGTCCACTTCGAGAAGGAGGAGGACGCTCAAAAGGCCATTGACACCGTCAACGGCAAGATGCTGCTCAAGCAGGTTGTGACCGTGACCAAGTTCCTCTCCCGCAAGGAGCGCGAACAGCAGGGTGGCCGCACCTACACCAACATCTATGTCAAGAACCTGCCCGACTCGTACGCCACCAACGACGACCTCAAGAAGCTCTTTGAGAAGTTTGGCACCATCACCTCGACCTTCTTGGCCAAGGACGAGAACGACAAGTCGCGTGGCTTTGGCTTTGTCAACTTTGAGAACTCGGAGGCTGCCAACGCTGCCGTTGAGGCCATGAACGAGAAGGAGATTGAGACCGACCGCAAGCTCTTCGTTGGCCGTGCCATGAAGAAGCACGAGCGTGAACGCGAACTCAAGCGCATCCACGACAAGATCCGCCAGGAGCGCGATGAGAAGAACAAGAACTCGAACCTCTACATCAAGCACCTGCCCGAGGATGTGACCGAGGATGCTCTGCGCGACAAGTTCAGCAAGTTTGGTACCATCACCAGCCTCAAGATCATGACTGACAACAACGGCGACTCGCGTGGTTTTGGCTTTGTCAACTTTGACTCGGCTGATGAGGCCGCTGCCGCCATCCAGGAGATGCATGGCAGCATGATCGATGGCAAGCCCCTGTACGTGGCCCTTGCTCTGCGTAAGGTTGATCGCCAGAAGCAGCTGGCCTCGCGCCGCACCATGCCCGGCCAAATGCCCATGGGCTACCTTCCCTTCATGATGCCCCCGCCCCAGGCCAACATGATGCGCATGGGCAACCGCTTCCCTCCCATGGTCATGCCCAACATGCACATGATGAACCAGTTCATGATGCAGCAGCAGCAGCAACAGCAGCAGCAGCAGCAGCAACAGCATGCCCCCGGCATGAACGGCAACATGCGCGGACGTGGACGTGGCAACCCCAACAAGGGCAACGGCCGCGGCCGTGGTCAGGGTCCCATGCCGTCGCAGGGCCAGCCCATGCCCATGCAGTCTGCTCCCTCCGCCGCCCGCGTCGCTGCTCCGGCTCCCAACAACAACCAGGACGAGTTTGCCAACCTGGCGCACATGACTGATGCCGAACAGAAGAACCTGTTGGGTGAGAAGCTCTTCCCTCTCATCCAGCAGGAGTACCACGAGCGTGCCGGCAAGATTACCGGTATGCTGCTGGGTATGGAGACCGCCGAGGTCCTCAACCTGCTCCAGGATCAGGATCAGCTCAAGCAGCGCGCTCGTGAGGCCTATGACCTCCTTGTCAAGCACGAGTCCAACAAGGCTTAAACGCCCACTCCTGAGGCATTAGGAATCTGCGCCTCGAAGTGCCCCCGTCGCTGACGTGTGCGGCCTCGAGACCACCCCAACAACAGCCCACCACCCATTTTTTTTTTTTTTTTGATGCTTGTTTCGATTATTGATTTTTTTTCATGTCCTGGCTCTGGTTTGCTCCGCAGCGCACGGTATGACTGTCGTGATGCGGGGCCTCGGTCCATTTCCAGGAGCGGGTTATTTAGCATTGTGAGCTTTTGCCTCGGCTCCACTTTGCTTCTTGCCCTTTTTCAATCGATTCATCGCAATTCGCATTTTTTTGCATCTCATCTTCAGCTTGGATAATTTCTCGCCCATAATGTTATTTGATGAACAGAAACGGGTGCAAAATTGGCACTAGAAAAAGATGATAAAAATAAGTTGGCGTAAATTTTGTTGTACACAAAGCCAAAGGGCGAGGCAAGCAAGAACCAAACACAAATTTTCATCACACACACAGTCTGTAAAAACATCAGGCGCGGCCGGGCAAGCAGAGCACATAGAATTTTGATTCTTCTTGCGTGCCGGACAGGTGTTTTTGAAATGGCAAATTACTCGTCCTTGAGCTCCCAAATCATGCGGCGCTCTGAAACAAAAACCAGCACGTCAGCACCACACATACCTCCCAAGCGAGGGAAAGATAAAATGACGAAAATTTTAAAGGGTCCTGAAACATGACTTACGATCAAGCTTGACACCATCGTATTTTTCAACGGCCAACTGGGCGGCGGCCTTCTTTTGGAAAATGACCGACGCCACACCCTCATCCTCAATCTTGACCGTACGCACGCCTTTGGCATCAACAAACTCAGCGCACAGCTCCTAAAAGGCGCAAACGGAAGCATCAGGCTACATGGAGCACAGGACAAGCCGGGAGTTTGTGGTATATGCATGAAGCGCAACAAACCCGAATCTCTTCCTCGGTCACTTCGGGCAGGTTGTAAATCATGACCTTGAAACCACGCTTAATATCCTTAGCCTTTTGCACTGGCGCCGGAGCAGGGGCGGCGGCCCGGGCCGGAACCAGGGCAACTGCAGCGGCAGCTGTGGGCGCCGGGCCACGTTGCTGGCGAGAGGAGAGCAGGGAACGGAGGTCTGTACGCATGGGCAGACATCGACATCCGTGCCGCGAGAAGGCAACGTGCACATGCCCCAACAAAAGCACGAACACAAGAAATAAAAATCACAGATGAGGAAACACGACAGCACGAGCACAGATGAGTGGATGCTCCTGGGTACATGCGGCAGCCAGTTTGTAGCCAGTAGCCAGTGGCAAGCATGAACAGCAAAAGAGGCGGGATGCGGTACTGGCAGTGCAGAGGCTCGTGTCTCGTTTGTCAACCATGACCACCGCCCAACATGTACACACCCTAAAGATTACAAAGCAGGAACATCACCAAATGTCGACAAAGTCACGTCGAGCAAATCAGCGTCAGCATGCCTTGAGCAAGACAAGACCATGTGCGGGTAGAGAAAAGGGTGTGGTCAATGGTGTCCGTGTGTCCCAAGTTCCCGAATGAAATCTTATGCCGGATTGCTCGGTCAACGTCTTCAGCAGCCAGCATCGCTTGAATGCGTCGGCTCGTATATCAAGGGCAGGGGGCTTGTGCACAGACGACAAGCATCGAGGGAGCACGGAACAAAGTCCCGCCGCATGGGACAGTGACACGGGGTCTCGCAACCAACGTCTTTACGAGCCAGCCCTACAAGCCACCTTGATTGCAAGAGCAGGCCAAGCCTGTCCCAGTGGCTTGCGGGCGGTCGCTGTCTCAGACGCGACGCCGTGCCAGCCCTTACAGCAAAAAATGAACAAGCAAAAACTTGGCGGTCCTTGGCAGCAAGGTCAAGTTTCCAACTAAACCCGGGCCTGCCTTGCTGTCTGACACTTCGGCGACGCTGCTCACAGCGGTGGTGTCCGCCCGAGGGCAGGAGCCGGTGCATCAGCCCATCCGTGCCATGCGCATGGTGATGGCAGGTCGAGTCCCAGCACATGGAGAGAGTACAAGCCGAAAAGGCTGTCTTTTCTCTCGTGAGTCAGTCCGTGCCACCCCAGTGGCGGGTGGCTTATGGACCACACCCACCCGGCGCCCTTGGTGGTAGCAAAGCCGGCCGTCATGGCCGGCTTCGGCAAGCACGCTCCGTTGCTCAATTCCAGTGCAATCATTCTGGAAGCCTCGATTTGCGGCATCAAGCTTGGCGCAAGCGCTGGCTCACCACCTCGATGCGTGTCATCTTACCCCGCCCACCTTTCAAGTCCACCGACTCCCCCCATCCTCAGATGCAACATTGCTGCGCTGGTGCCAGGTGTGTTGCGCGATCATTCAGCATGGTGGAGGTCGGGAGACGGACCGAGCCGATCCTCCTGTCTTCGTCATTGTGTTGAAAAGGGCCCCAAAGATTGCGAGTCTGCATCAACGTACTGGCTGACGGGCTTTGCGGAGGGCCATAAGGCCCGGGTCTGTGGCCAAGTCGTTGACGACGCGCACCTTCAGGCTCTTGGGGGCCAGGGTTGGGGGGGCTGCGACCACGGCCGTGCGGCCAGCGCGACCACCACGAGAGCCACGGCCACGCGTACCGCGGCCGCGGCCACGCCCACGTCCCTCGGGTGCCGCAGGCTTGCTATTCTGGCTGGGCTTGCCGTTACCCTTTGCACGTTTCGCGCCGTTTTCTCCCGCCTTGGAAGGGGCGCGCTTGGCCTTCAGCGACGCCTGAAGCTCATCCAGTGACTTGTTCACATCCATGATCCTGGTCTTCGAACAGGATATCAAATGCAATGCAAGGCAAAAACAGAGCCAAGAGGGGAAGCAGGCAGCGGGGAAGGGTGCTCCAACGTCCGAGAACGGCGGTCCGGCGCACAAGTCGCTGCTCGTTCTTTCCGTGAGTGTGTGTGATCAGTTAAGTGAGAGACCGAGAGCTGCACAAAGTACTGATACAGCCGCAATAACTTGACCAAGACCCCAAAAGCATATCGCACTATGTGCATGTCTTTCTCCTCTAAGTGATAAGCTTTCTTCACAAAGTCCGGTTAACGGTGTTGCGCCTTTTCGAAAAACGTAAGACAAAGGGAGAAAAAAATCTGCTGATAGCGTTTGCTTATGATCGCCTTGTTACCAAATTATAGTCTACGTCTTCTGAGGTTTGAACCCTGTCTCGTGTACTTTTTCTTTTCTTGACCGACAGGTGTGTCAGAGCGGCTCAGCCAGGGTCGAGTGACCGCTTCGTCGCGCTTCCTTTGAGGGCAGCCCTGCCGCGTGTTGTGGTCGTGGTCACAGGCGGCACAAGGAACATTGCTGAGGCACTGCCCTTTTGGTCCGCGTGGGCCCTGCCTCTGGGTCCAGGGGACGATGGACAGAGCCTCAGCTGCACGTGATTTCGCTTCAGCGTTCTGAAGTCGAGCGAGCTGTGTCCTGTTGTCGACTTGTCGCCAGCCCGCAGCGCGCTTGGCATGAGCTGGTGTTGTGGCAGTGCTTCGTGTCTTGTTTCCTTTCCACGTGCTATACATCAACTCTTTCTCATATGCTCTTGCTCATCCGCTCTCTTCGGTGCTTGCTGCCCACGTTGCCTGACTTTTTTTTTCCCTTGCCCCGACCACAGAATGGCCCAGCGTCTTACCTACCGCCGACGCCTGTCGTACAACACCCGCGGCAACCGCCGTCGCGTGTAAGTCTTGTTTGGCACCTGAATTGGTTTGGTGCTGCGGACCATCTCTTTTATGCGGCACCATATCTCAGGGAGGAAGACGAGATGGGCCGATGTTTGAGCCGATGCAGGGTCGCTTCTCGTACATAGGTTTTACCACGAAGCGGTGCTCACTCTTGCTTTACGCATCCTTTTTTTTCTTTGTTGTTGCTGTGTGTGATGCTCCGTGCAGTGTCAAGACGCCCGGTGGCACCCTGTCGTACCTGTACGTCAAGAAGCCCGTCTCCGCTCCCAAGTGCGGTGACTGCGGCCTCAAGCTTCAGGGCGTGCCTGCTCTGCGACCAAAGGCCTACATGGGTCTGAGCAAGCCCCAGAAGACCGTCAACCGCGCCTATGGTGGTTCTCGCTGCCATCTCTGCGTCAAGCAGCGGTAGGTTATCATCGCTGTTCAACGCCTTGTCTAGTCGTTTCAGTCGTTCTTTTTTTTCGGTGCGACCTCAGGTGCGTCGCTTGTACTCATGTCATTGTGTACGTCGCATGTCATGGTCCTCTAGCATTGTGCGTGCTTTCCTGGTTGAGGAGCAGAAGATTGTCAAGAAGCTGACTCAGAAGAAGTGAGCTATCTGATCTTTAAGTTCGACCATCTCTTTCCTACAGCCGTCTAAAATGTGGTCTTGTTATCGTCAATTGAAGCAAAGCCACGTGCATGCGTTTCTCCCTGATAGCACTCCATGTTTACCTCTGATTTATCTGCCTGAGGTGCTTGAGGTGCATCAGTTGGTCATATTTGTGTTTCTTGTCGTGCCGTATGGTGTGCCGCGCGCGCGCAAACTTGGGGGTGGGGTCGACGGCGGGGTGTGCGGTTGATTTGATAACAGCCGGGCTGGCTGGCTGAGGTTGGCATACCATACATTTGGCAGCAGGCAAAATGGACATTGGGGATGCTTCAAAGTCAATTTCCATTGCTTGATGCAAAGTGAACCGGGGCATGTCATGGGGTCTACTCGTCCTTAAACTCGGCGGCCCGACGCTCGGCAAAGGCCTTCATGCCCTCGCGGCGATCGGCCTGCGGTACAGATGGCAGTGAGGTGCATGAGTTATTTCCTTGAGCAGGATAGCGGTCGAGGCAGGGTGGCGTGTGGTTTGAAGGTTGACAAACCCACCGTGGCAAAGGAGGAGTGGAAGAGACGCTTCTCCAGGTGCAAGCCCTCAGCGAGGCTCAGCTCTTGCGCTGTGAACACAAGGCAAAGCAGGTCAGAGTAGCTCCTAAGAGGCCTGGCTCCTGTAGCCAACACGAAACACAGGGCGGCGGCGGCGGCGGCGGCTGGTTATGTTTGCAACGTACACTTGTTGACGGCTTCCTTGGCCATCTGCAGCACGGGCTGGGAAAAGGCACCGATGCGCTCTGCCAACTGTTGCAAAATACGGATGCCATCGTGGGTCAGATGTCTTGGATTGCTTGAGAGAAAGAGGAGAAAGAGGAGTAAAAATTGCGGAGAGAGGCTGGTGACGTACCTTGATGGTCTCAGGCAGTAGTTGGTCCCCCTCAAACACTTTGCTGACCAGGCCGATGCGCTCGGCTTCACTGGCGGAAATGTGGTCACCTACAGTGCGCAAAGGAAGTGAGCACAATGCGAGAGCTGAAGCGCCGGTATGTGCTCCGCTGGAAACACAGCTGCGTACCTGTGAGCACGAGTTCCATGGCCTTGGACTTGCCAATGGCGCGCGTCAAGCGCTGCGTGCCGCCCGCACCTAAAACCAAAACCATCAAAGACACAGCGGAGGAGCATGATGAGGAGGAGTTTGGAAAAGAAGAAAATCAAAACAAAAGTCCGTTGAAGAAACCGAAGAGAAGCCCCCAAAACACAAAACAGAGTTGACAGAAAGATGGCACGGTAGCAGTAAAAGAGGATGGGATGCGCGTGGCTCAGGCATCACAGGCAAATGGCCTAGGTGTATGTCTACGAACCGGGAATGGTGCCAAGCTTGATTTCGGGCTGGCCAAACTTGGCCGAGCTGCTGGCATAGATGATGTCGCACATCATGGCCAGCTCACAACCACCACCAAACTAAGAGCGCGGGCCCAGCCGTCCTCATGATGAGCAGGCCTCGAGTCGTGTGGAGGTGGATTGCTAGGACAGTGCCTGCAGCTGTTTGCCTGCACAGGACCCGGGGAATTTTGCATCAGAGAGATGCCTATACGTACTGCAAAGCCATTGACAGCAGCAATGACAGGCTTGGTGCAGCGCGTGACACGGTCCCAGTGGGAGAGGAAGTTGCCCTACAGATTGCAGCCATAGCAAGTTTGGCAGAATAAGGAAGGCAATCCCTGCGTATGGACAAGGCAAAGCAATAGAGCAAGAAAAAGCCTCGACCCGGTTGCCGGTCAACACATACCGAGTAAACGCCGATGAAGTCGCGATCGGCCATCTCCTTGATGTCGGCGCCCGCTAAAGGCAGAGCGGGCATGCGATTCAAATGAAACAAGGATGCACGAGCACGGTAAGCGGGGTATGTCTGCTCTGCTCGTCGGCCAGACGGGTTCTCGAGCCGCCGAAGGATACACACCTGCAAAAGATTTGCCATGGCCAGTGATGACAATGGTGCGCACGTCACTGTTGGCCTCAAAGTCGTCCAGAACCGTGTTCATTTCGGTCATGAGGTCATCGCACAGCGCATTCAGGGCTGCGATTGGTGCGGACGCGTTGAAGAGTCGGGGGTGAGGTTGTCGGGGGAACCTGGGGGCCCCGCGTGACGGACAGGGCCAGTCCACTGTCTTGGGCTCTTGCAAGCTGCGAGGGCAAGCCTTGCATGACTCACCTTTGGGGCGATGGAGGGTGATGACGCCGACCTGGTTGTTCGAGCCCGTGCGCTCGACCAGGATGTTGTTGAAGGTGCCTGCGCTGGCGCCTAACGCAACCGAGAAGCAAAAGACCGTGGGAGCGCACAAATGCCAGCAATTCAGATGAGTCAAGGCACGGACCGGTTATGTCGGGTCATAGAAGCTGAACTCACTCATCAAACGACGAGTCACCATCAAGGGCGCGGCAACGCCGCGGCACATGCGAACCAGAGAGGCAGCCATGACTTTCAGTTTTGTCGTATCAACTAGCCAGCAGAATGCCAAAAGCAACAGCATCAGTGGATATTCTACACACCAGCACCATACCCTATTCTCAAGCAGTGCTGCTGCCCCACTGCCCACCGCCGTCTACCACCGCTGCCCTCCCCTCCCACTGCCACTGTTCAGGACCACACCTTTCCCCAAAAAAATTAAAAAAACAAAAAAACACTCGGTCGCAAGTCACCACCACAGAAAACGTCAGAAATTCAATCAAAGGAGCAACTTCATCTACATTAACTGCTCAACTCGTGCCATCAACTGAAGCTAAAGTCTTTAACACAACCGCATAAAGTCTTATTTCAGCGTAGAATACCTTGAGCTATTACCAGACGGACCATTGTTCTATCATTTGGTAGCCGTGGTCAGCGTTTTTCCCGCCAAAAAAAAACAGCAACAACAACAACAACAACAACAACAAGTCAGTCAGATGGAGACCGGCTCGGCTGGAATGTGGGGGAAAAGGGCAGCGCCGCTGGCCCCGTCTGAGGTTTTCTGGACCAAGGGGCATCGTGGAAGGTGGCATGGATTCGTGTGGTCTTATGGTCTTCTGCATGCCAAAGAAGTTGTGGTGATTGGAGGTTGTTGAGCTTTTTGTGAATAACATCTCATGCGCCCCGCCCCCCTTGGTCCTGTGCTGGCGCCTTTGCTTAGCTCGCCAGCAACAATGACGGATCAGCGACGCCAACGTGAGTGAAGCGCGCAAAGCGAGCAAAAACAGCAAAGGCAGCATGACTTGTGCTCATTTGGTTCTTGGCCTGCCTGCTCGATACGGGCTCTGCTTTCGTGGAGTTCAGAGTATGAGGATGCCTTCCACATCCATGCTGGCCCCGCCGGGTCGCTAAGCCTGCCACAGTGCGGCAATGCTCTCCGTAGCCTTGGCTTCAACGTCTCTGACGGCGAGGTGGCCACCTCAGGTCAGGTTCTACTGCCCGCTTGACAGCTTTTTCTTTCATTGACGCCGAGGGCGTGCCGTGCCGTTTCTGCCTTTGTTGAGATGTCAACTCACCTCAATCGTACGGGGTCTGTCAATGAAACTAAAATTAGCGGGTGGATCGACCAACCTTCAAGCGTTCCTGACGCTGGCACAAACCTTTGCGGCCCGCGGTGCTCCCTCGGATGATACATTGTATGCAGCCTTCCGGTACGCACCCTGACCTGTCAATGGTGCATCTCTGTCGAGCCGCCCCCTCCCCACCCCCCTTCTCCAACATCCAGACTGGCCCAGAGCTTTGTCGCAAGGGTGAGCATCTAATCTCATGGGACGGATTCCACCCACTCTGCATCTATCTCTGACTCAAGAGTGTTTGACAAGCTTGGCAATGGCACCGTCCCGGCCAAGGAGTTTGCTCAGTATTCGCAGATTCTTGGCGATCGTCTCTCTGATGCTGAGGTTGCCCAGCTCATGCAGCACGCCAACAGCGGCAGCATCAACTATGAAAGTTCGTTTCGTGCACATGATCTAGCTCCTTCTCTTCATCGGCTGTGCGGCCACGCTCACATGTGATCACGACATCTCCGTAGAGCTTATCGATTCGTTCAAGAAGTCGGCGTAAAGGCGCGAAAAGCCTGACGACCCCCGTCTTGCCTCTCTCTGAACGGAGCGCAGCGGCGTCTGAGCCAAACAGCCTCTGTTCTTTGCACAGTTCAAGAGATATGCCTGCGTCCCTTCCTTTTTTTTTTTTGCTTCTTGTCAACCCTGGCATGCTGCCGTTTGTGGCCGCATGGTCATTGTGCCACAATCACCGTCCATATAGTCTGTTTTTAGTGTTTTTTTGTTGTTTTTCGTCGCCGCCTTCATCAGATTTGCTCGTTTTGACTCGTTTCGTGATCAATGTACAACCTCCAATCAACAAAGGGAGCTTTTCTTTTCTTTGTTGTGCTTCAGTAAGTGGCCGTCAAGCCCTGGTCATCATCCGTCGCGCAGTTACTCGGATGAATGACCCAAGAAATTACTTTTTTTGTTGTGTGTGTGTGACGGGTCATGGCAGAATTCTTCTGTCGTGATCAATTCGTTGAGAACAGCGTTGAAAATGGCTGGATCATCAACGAAAGGGGGAGGGGATATTATGCTTTAAAAAAACGGGAAAGAATAAAAGAGGCAAGGGAGCAGAAGGAAAATCACAAGAGTCAGAAGAGGAGCAAAGCCCCTACAGATGTATTCTCTGATGAAAAGAAAAAGAGGGGAGAAAAAGAGGGGAAGGCAAGCAAGAACGCAACTCGATAATAATGAAAGTGCCCTTAGGACACTGTGGCATGGCCGGCACGGCCTTCGACAAACATGTTGGACATCCATCTCAACATATGAAGCAAAGAATATGAGCACACACACACGCACGCACGCACACACGACTCCAATGAATACAAAATCGCACATGCGTGCGTGCGCTCACGAGAGACCACGACTGCCAAAGGCCTCCAAGGCACAGCCGGTCTCGATCAAACATGGGTTGTACTAAACAAAAAACAAAAACAAAGAAACGAAGCACACACATGGAAAACAAACAAGCACGCCCGCACGCCCGCCCGCCCAGCTTGAGACAAAGAGGGGCTTTAAAGCGCCAGTGCGAGAATAAGAGGAATGAACGAGTGCAAACAAGTCCAAGATCTAAAACTGATCATTTGAAGCCAAATCACACGCCTCGGTAGCCTTGAGCGAACCGTTGCGACGTCGCGTCATGGCAGTTTTCTTGGCAATTTTGGTATCATCGCACAGTAACAGCTTGCCATTGTCGTCGGTAATTTGGCCCTCTTTGTGTTTCTGCAAGTGGTACTCAAGGCCAGGGGCGGAGCGGAAGCTTTTCCCACAGCCACGGACGGGACAATCCAACGCAGCGTTTTTGTTGGCGTTGTGAACAGTCCGAACGTGGTAATAGAAACCGGCCGAAGAGCTGAAAATCTTATCACAGCCCGGCGCGGGACACTCGCGAGGGTACTTGGAAGAGCGCCGTGCCTTGCGGCGGGCCGACTTTGATTGTTTAGCGGCGGGCTCGCCACTACCACTGCGGGTTGCAGTGGAGGTAGGAAGATTCGCCTGACCACTGCGATTTGAGGCCGTAGGGCCTCGCTTGCCGGCCACCATGGACCCCGATGAGGGACCACGCTTGCCGGCCACCGCATGCACAGATGCACCGTGCCCACGCTTACCAGCGGAAGGTCGACGTTGACCCCCAGCGCCAGCATGGCCCCCGCTCCCCTTGGAGGGAGCGCGCTTCGAAGCCACATGTGACGAGGGGGGAGGGTTTTTCGAGGGCAATCCCTTGGCAGCCATGCGCGCCGATCGACGAAGGCCGGTGAAAGGGAGGGGCTTTGCAAAATCATCAGCAGGGGCAAAGGTGGACGCTGTGGTACCCGAAGAACTCAACAAACCCGAGCCCACGGTTGTGGTGGCGGTAGGGATCGGGGGTGCAGCGCCGGAGCTTCCGGACAACAAACGAAGTTGCGCGTGGGCTCGACGGGTCATGATACGATCGAGTGTCTCACGCACGCCAGGAACGTCCGTGCCGGCTGGAATCGAGGGCATTGAAGGGATCTTCCCGTCCAATGCCTCGGCAATGGATTGAACAGAAGCTTCCTCATGCATTTGCAGCATGATGCTGTCGAGATCGGCGTTGGTGGTGACCACTGAGGACCCCATGCGGTTACCCAAAATGGAGAGCGCGTCGCTGGACAGGGGCGTTTGTCCTGCATTCAACAGCGGCTGGTCCATGCCATTCAAGTCGGCGATGGCCTGGGCCTGGGCAATGGCAGCATCGGCCTGATCCATAATGTGCGTCGACTGCGTGGCAGTGACGGTCGGCAGGCCCATACCACCGGCAAAGCCCATATTGCTGTTGCTGGTCATGTTGGCGCTCGAGCTACTGGCAACGTTGCTGCCAAAAGTTGGCAACAAACTGGACGAGGCCAGCGAGACGAGGTTGGGCGAGGGATGGGACAGGCTGGTGCTGCCAGTGGCGGTCGTGACGGCGGCCAGGCCAGCAAGGTTGACGCCCGAGTCTGTCGCCGAAGGGCCACGACCGTGACCAGTTGTGCTGTTCGAGGCAGACGAGGCGACAGACGAGGCAGAGAGGGCGGGCTTGCTGAGAATCATGTCGTCGAGCGCCTTGCCCGCGCTAGAGGATGCTAGCGGTTCAGTGCTTTGACCCGCGTTGATGGTGGGCAGGAGGTCTGACATGATGGGGGCTGATGTGGCATCAGTGGTAGGCAAAGCTGAGGCTGCAAATGAGGGTGATCCCATGCCCACGCCGGTACCAACGCCCATCACGGAAGGGGGCGGAGCAGTTTCTGACAAGGCTGTGAGATCGTCAAAACTGGCGGTACTCGCCGGGTTTGCCAAGCTTCCCATGGCTGCTGAAGCATGAACGTGGGGATCCACCACGGCTGCGTTGTTGACCGAGGGGGTACTGGCATGACTCAAAGTGCCAAGTGGAGTGGAAGGATCTCCAACGTTGGATAGGGCGGTGTCTGGGTTGGCCATGGCCAGTCCATCCATGTTGCTGTTGGCATCAGGCTGCAGCCCGGGCATACGAAAGGCATGATTGGAGGAAGCGCCAAGCGTATCAACAGCCTCGGGAAGAGGGACGACGTTGGCGGGCAGCGTGGTAGCTGCGCTGGCCAGGATGGTGGTTTGCGGATCCGTTTGCAGACGAATGACCTGCTCCTCCAGAGCGCTATCCAGTGTTTGGGCAGCGTGAGCATGGGCTTGCGCCTTTTGACGAGCAGCCACTTCGAGTTGAGCGTGCATCTGCGCTTCCGAGTCGGCGCGTTGGTGTTCCTCGACGACGTTCTGGGTACAGTTACCATTGAGAGCCTGTGTGAGGGCTGAGTTTTTAATGAGCTCGGCCTGCTGGCGCGCAGCGGCATGTTGATCGGCCTGCCGCTGCAGGTTCATGGAGCAGCTCACGTGGGCCTCCATGGCAGTGATGGTTTCCTCGGCAGCCATTTGTTGCATGACGACGGGGTCGGTCACAAGGTTCATTTTGTGGGCATGGTGCACGTCGTTGGAACTACCCGAGCCGGTTGAATCGAGCGAGGGGAGGGACAGGTGGGAGGTTGACGAGGGTACAGGCCCTGACAAGGCCGCAGGCGGCATGGTGCCAGGCACGAGATTGCTGCTGCCCGAAGGCAAAGGGGGCGCGAGGGCCGACGGAAAATTGGACTTCTGTGTGGATAAATCAGAGTTCAAGCAGAACAGGTCCATCGGATACGGCAGCGAGGCGGGGTGAGCAGAAAAGAAAATGAGCTGGGGGATGCGAGGAAGCCAAGGGGGAAGTGGTGTCTGTTCTAAGTGGTGTGCGGGTCGAGGGATGCGGTGTTGGGATGCGACGTGATGAAAAGAGAATGGGTGGTGAGCTTTGTTGAGTGACGAAGAGCGGCGAGGAAGACAATGTTGACAGACAGAGGATGCGCCCAACTGATCTGCCCCGCAGGATCCCACTTGACCAACCACGTAAGGCAGCAGCGATGGACCAACAGTCAAAGAGGGACACAAAGGGCCCAAAAAAAAGGGGGCAACAATCACGAGCAAGACATGCACGCGCAAGAGGGGGCAGCGAATGGGAATGACGACAAAAGGTGGAGGCAAGTCAGAGCAAGGGAAAATGAAAGCCCCACCACGCAATCTTCGTCGAGAACAAAAGACTGAGAGTGGTTGGCTGCATGCATTCTCTCGTGTCAGCAAAAGTGATGTGGACACCACGCAGAGGAACAACGAGGAAGAAAAGGAAAGAAAACTCTGACAAAAAGGACAAGCATGCATGTCCACGAGCCAAAAGCAGCCAAGATCGCCCAAGCATCCTTGGGAGGAGACAAGGGGGAGGCGCAGGGAAACGAGTTCCGCAAAACTTGGATCCAACAAGAAAACACGGGAATCAGCCAGGCGCCATGCGGCGCCTTGTCCCACACGAGTGATCCACCAGCGCTCTTCCGTTGAACACGTGAAGAGGGTAGAGGTGGAGGAGGGAGAGGGGGATCACAGGCTGGGGTTCGCCAAGCGTGAAAAAAAAGCAAAAGCGACAATGGGGCACATGGTGTGGGGGAAACAGGCAGGCAGACCCAAGGGCGTCGAATGCACGAGCGAGCGGAATCAGACAAGAAGACACGGCGACACTCAAAGACAATGAAGGTGAAAGCGTGTGTCCATGGGTGCCAAGTGTTGCGTGAATGAATGCACAAGGAGACGGGTGATGATGCTTGACTGAATG